TGAAAAACTGCAGATTCCCTCTGTCTGTCTGATGGGAAGCCTGGCTGTGTGCAAATGCAAGGAAATGAGCTTGCTGCTCCAAGTTTTTTACCTTGTTCAGAAAGACTGAAAGCTTTTTTTGCCAGAGCCCTACGGAAAGTAGGCACGGGATCCAGCAAGAGCCGATTTTCTTGCTAAGATATTTGCTATCGAGCTTGCATTCAGTTAAAGAACAGCTAGAGAAGAGGGGAATAAAACCAGCAGATGAGTTTTCTTACAGAATTCATTTCACTCCTGTTTCACTCCACGCATGTACTTGTAGCAGTCAGCCCAATATATACAGCTGCTGTCTAGCATAACCCACTGCTCATCTCTCTCACCCACAACATACATGCACTCACACTCCCCTCTTCTTCCTCCAAGGACTGCAGTGCTTTCAACAAGAGAAAATAATAATAATAATAATAATAATAATAATAATAATAAAAATAGCAATAATTAAAAAAATCTACAGTATTCACTTCCTTTTGGTATATTACATCGGCATTTTCTGTACATGACCCAAGAGCTCCCTCTATTTACACAGTGATATGGAAGGACTTGTTCTTGGGAGCCCGGTTCTCCTGGCCTTGAGTGGGGAATTAAAGCCCACCTTTCAGAGTTCTTTCTCTTTTCCATTTTATTAGCAGCATCATGTAAACCTGTAAGGGGAAGGGGGGCTTATTTTGAAGGTTTCTCGAGTCTGCTCCCTCTTGCCCTTCTCCTGGGGAGATGGTCGGCAGCATCTGCCCAGTTAGCAGCTGCTGTTTTTGAATTCACCATTCTCCGTGATGGAAAGCTTGGTGGGGTTGGTGGGGGAGATGCCATTGCGGACTTGCATGCTGTAGCGCTCCTTCACCTGCGTCAGGGCACTCATCAGCCGCGTGTTGGCGGAGTCCAGGGACACGATCCGCTTCTCCTGCAACAAACACCCCGCAAAGTCAGAGCTCCTTCTTACAAACAAAAATGCCTTTGCCCCACGAGCCTGCTTCACGGGGAACTTCCAGGACCCGGGGCTGTGACAGTGTCTTCAGGTGATTTCTAGGCAGAGGCAGCTTGGCCAACATTCTCTGGTAAGATGGGACGTGGGGCTTTATCTGTTTTCTCGGGGTAACGCGGCCCCTGCGTGCCACGGGCTTTTCGTGGGCCAGTCTGGCCCCTCCCAGCCTTTTTGCACGATGGAAGGTGACAGCGAGTCACGGTTACATCGGTGAATTGATCCCGTCACAGCGGCGTGAGCCAGCCAGCCTCCAACCGAGGCCGATGGAAATGCAGTATTTTGCCATGGGGGAGGTTGGGGGAGGGGGGAAGGGTACTGATGTTAGTAACAACAATAGCCAATTTAATTTTTTTTTAAAATATGTTAGAAAAAACAGAAACAGGCAGCAGAAAAAAAAAAGTGGCAGAGGTTTCATCTGGCAGAGAAGAGTGCAAGTGGTATCTAACGGCCATCGTCTCTGTGTTTTGGATGGAGTGTGCTCAGAATAAAGTCATGGTATGCTTGAAATAAATAAATAAATTAAAAAAAAAAGCAGCAGATAATGGCAGCCTGCAGTCACCAGCAGGAGTGAGGGTGCAATAGCAACATAGAGAAGAAGCAGCCAGAAGCTAAAACTAAGAGGTTATTTGAGGTGAAGGGGAAGAGGGCAGCGTGGGTGGAGGGGGAGTTTATTCTTCTAGCACAGCAAGCGCTAGCCTCCACTTTCAGCAGAAAGCTAAAGGGTGTGTACCGAATTTATAAAAAATAAAAAATCCATCCACAAAGCCCAGCCTGCTAACAGCTGGATTATCTGCAGTGGGATAAAGCACTGGAGGGTCAAGCCAAAGAGTTGGTGGCACAATTTGAAATGACAATTTTCATCTTCCCTCAAAAAAAAAAAAAAAAAAAAAAAATGCAGCCACACAAATCAGCAACAGAGACGGCAAAAGGTAAATATGCTCTCCATGCTACCAGCTGTTTGGCTTTTTTCTTCTTCGAGAAGGAAAAACGTCCAATTTACTCGAATGAAAAAAAAGCTGCACGCAGGAACTCTTTCCAGTCCGGCCCATTGAGAAACAAAATGGAAGGCAAAAATGATGCACAGGAGGCACAAACATGAAGGGGTAGTTCAGACACACTGCTCAGGAGACTGAAGCACTACAACAGCCCCTTGAGACTTTGATCTCTGTGCTACATCAGCAATCAGGTAACGTTTGCTTTTCTCAGTGGGCTTCCCCCACAGGGGTAAGCGTTAGGGTGCAAAAACAAAGCAGAATTTAAAGTACTGCTTGTATTATAGCCCCGAAAAGATGGAGCTCTCTATAGCAGAGCAAATGGAGGAGGAGGCGGCACGAGAAATCAACCCTGACACTTGCCCTGATCCAGTCAATGTAAGCAAGGAGAACGGACAACGGAGGAGGTAAAGCCCTTAGAGCCTTTCCTCCCATGCTGAAATAAATCCTGCAAAACACAACTGCCTTCGCAGAAATGCCTTCTTCAGCAAGTTAAAGCTCCTCCTCCTCCTCCAACTAAATTTCACCTGGGATATATAATTCAAAATTAAAATGTCTTTCTGAAGGATAGAGCTTTCCGAAGAGTTAAAAATGAAAGGCTGGTTATTTTCTGGCACCGAGGAGTGCTCACTGTGCCAGTTTGCAAAACAGCTGGAAATCCACACTTGGAAAAAATCAACCTGGAAAGCATGAGCTTGGTGACTAGAGGCATCTTCTCACTCAAAGGCAAATTCCATCTCACAAACGTGTCTCTTAACACACACGCATCGGGCAGAGGGAGCAGGAGGAGCTGGAATGGGTAGGAGGACAGTGCACTGGGCCGGGACTGGGTGCTGCTCAGCTAGAGAACTGATTGGGTTTACTTGCCTGTTGGAATTATCTCATCCCCATTTATGACCTGTAATTTAACACAGCGGAGATGTCACTTGCAATAGCAACCGGGCTAGTACTCTTTGCAGCTCCGCTGCTCCAAGGAGAGAGTTTGGCCAGACCTAGCCCCTGCTCGGTCCGGGAGGGCCAAGCGCCAGCCTCTGCAGCCACAGCGCCCACGAGGCGCTGCCCCGAGCAGGCAAAACCAGAACGTGCTCCCAGAACAAGGCTGTCCCTGCACATCAGAGCGGTATCGGGTGCCGCACCTGACCGCAAGGCAAAAGAGCAAATCCTGGAAAGCGTCTTGCGGTGATGATGTAACCACGCGCAAGAAGCCCAGGTTCCTGCTGCTTCCTAGCAGCCATTTAACTCTTCAAACAGAAGAGCCAGGTTCCAACTCTGCTCCATAAATCTCACATAAAAAAAGACCTTGTCTTTCCTAGCCACTGCTATATCCCTTTTGCCAAACGAATCACAGACTAAGAGAAATCTTCCAAGCGCGACTCAAAGGGATTGATTGCTGCAGAACCCAGCAAACGCTTGGGCTCCTCTGGTGCGTCTGTTCTGAACCTTTCATCAGTTTCCTCCTCTGCTCAGGTACCCGTGAGAGGGCAAGGACAACTGAGCTTCCCCCATGAACTGGTTGACGCCGAAGCAGTTAAGGTTTGCCGATGACCCTGCTTGCCCAAGCAGCTAACAGTGCTTCAGAAGAAAAAAGCATCAGATTAAAAGACTAATCGTTAATGCTACTGTTTTGCTACTGTTTTTTTCCAAGAATTTCCACTGCGGGTGATAAATCATTTGATCAAGTGTGATCAAGGACCATGCCTTTCCAGCCCCGAGGGTTTGAAGCTTTCACAAGCCAGCAGCAGCCCCCTCTGCCAGCTGGTGACACCGAGGGATCAGACCGGGCCCCTCTCCGCCTTGCTAGTCCATAACCTCACTGAGAGCCTACTGGCACAGCGAGGTAGCAAAGGGAAGGGCGAGTTTCTTATCCAGTCACAGTCTCTCATAATCTTCCCCTCCAAAAAACACTTCTAGTGAGTTTGCTCAGTGCCTGTTTCACCTTCTTGAGGCAGATGAAAAAGGCATCGCCTCCTTCAGAAACCAGGCTGCTGTTTGGATGAGCGGCCATTCCATTGGTGCGTAACAAGCAAGGTGCCCTGACTTTGCCTATCTCCAAAAAAGGGCCCAGCGTGTTCAACTTCTACTCCAGCTTCCACTTGCCATACTCCTTGATCAGATTGGAGGCTGCTGTACCGTTCCCTTGCCACCAAGAAAATAAAAAAGAAAAAATGCAATGCCTGCCTATGTTCTGTCCCCCAGCACTGCCCTCTCCCATTTTGCATGCAAGTTCTCACAGAAAGGATCTAATCTGGAGCTGCGTCTAGAAAGGGTGACAGTACACTGTTGTCTCCGTGTAGAACATCTTGCACACTAACTAGGAACTATATGTGGTGTAATTCCAGCAGGGTTTTCTTTTTATTCTGCAAGGCTAGGTAACAGAAGTGCCATGTTATTGTACACAAGTGATTTATTCAGATTAGATGGCACAGATCCAAAAATCCGGCTTTCATGAACAGTCTTTCTGAAGCACTGTGGGAAAATGGGCAGCGGCAGCAGGAAAACCAGAACTTCTATTCTATATATTCTATTCTATACAATCTGCTATAAATATGCTCCTAGTGTTACCGGGCTTTTAAAACCACAGCTTTTTTCTACTTTATATTTTGCCTACCAGTTTCACGTGAGCTCAAACATGTCTACTATTGCTGGAAAAAATGGCCAGGGTATGCCCTTTTGCGTTCACTTATGCCTGTATTCTAATACAGCTGTACCATCTTTAACAACGTCCAGCTGAGGCTTCCCCCCGCCCCACCAC